AGGCAGTCGAATTCGCGTCTTTTGCAAGAACTCGGCCTTTCGCTGATCACAACTTGGAGAATTTTACTTCACGATTCGGGCCTACACTCGTACAAAATTCAACTGACCCAGGAACTGATGGTAAACGACCATAGACAATGACGTGTGTTAACTGAATGGGCTTGGGAGCAGTTGGCGTATGACCCTATTTTTCATCGAAAAATCATCTTCAGCGACGAGGCCCATTTCTGGATGGGCCAAATTCGACCAATACGTTTGAGATCCAAGAGCGTCCTATGCATTCCGAAAAAGCCACTGTTTGGTGAAGATTTTAGGCTGGCGGCGTCATTGGTCCATATTTCTTAGAGATCGACGTTGGCCAGGCCATCACTGTTAATGGCGAGCACTGTAGGTCTATGAATCAACTTCTTTTGGCCTGAATTGGATGATCTGAACACCAACGACATGTGGTTTCAACAAGACGGCGATACGTGCGTCACAGCTCATGCCACATTGCATATTTTGCAGGAGCAATTTGTGGACATGGTCGTCTCACGTGGAAGTCATGTGAATTGGCCACCGAGATCGTGCGATTTGACCCCGGTATACTTTTTCTTGTGGGGTGGTGTGAGGACCGCAGTGGTCCTCAAACGCCACGTCATCGGTCAAATTCAACCTGGAGTCATGGAAAATTGGACGTTTCAGATGCGCTCCATCCAGAGACGCTGTAGTGGACATTTGAACGATGTTATATTCCATACATAAAGGCATCAATGGTCTTTCAAATGAATACAAAATTTCGATGATATCTTAACACACTTTGCTTCATTTAAATTCGAAGATAGAGAGCGCTTAATGAAAGTCCCTCTACATCTGGACGACTCATTGCTGCTTAATAAATGGGATAAGATAGGACCTCGCTGCCAACCTAACTCACTGAGAAGAAGTCTAGCGGTGGATGAAATTAGGTTGATCAAATATTTTAATGCTGTAGAACCTGAGTAAAAAATCGCTACTTGAAAATTGCTAAACATATGCCAATTCATTTCCGAACATTTGAATGTAAGTTTGCAATCGATATAGAAATGTTAAGTTTAGTTTAGGATCTAAGTTAAGAACCGTCAACTGTCAGTTGATGCGTTAATTGTTAGTTTTCGTAATGTAACAGAAATGGGTATAACCGTAACTTGGTAATTTTAAATGTCAAAAAGTAACATTTTGTTTCCAAAATAACGCCAGTATAACAACACTGAATATGATCTACGGGCGACATCCGAAAGAAGATGGACCATGGGCAATTTACGATCGCCGCCTCGGTCTTCAGCAGAAGAAGCATCCGAAGCGGGCTGAAACAATGCGAGAGCCTCCGGGCTACGAACTCGCCGCTGTCGGTCGGTCGGTCGTCCCGCATGACCTGTGGAATGCATACGGAAATTATAGTGGCCCGGGTAGGGTGCGAAGGACGACGGTCCAAGGCCCAAGGCCGAACTCTTGTCTTCAGTCGGCAGTGGCCCAGTCCAGTCGCAATGTGGCCCTTGTGCTATATACCCGCGCCGCCCGTTTCTGCGTCGCCGCTGCCTCTTCAGGCGTACACGCTGCCCTCTTCGTATCTGGCATCGGCCCGCCACCGCGCCTATCCCGTCCAACCGACCTTCCAGACGCTGCCCGCCTCCTACGTCATCAACAATCGGGAGTATTACGGTGACGTCAGGATCAGAGTCGGAGCAGTCCCGACCAGAGGCCCTGTGGTATACCGGGATAGGGGCCCTTTGGTGTACCGGGATGGCCGTTTCGATGTTTTCGTAAGTGTGTTTGATGCTGCTGTGTAGGATTTTTTTTCGAAGTGGAGGTGTGATGTGTATTAGTTTCTCGATTGTGTTGAGAAGACCCAACGCCAATCTGCGTTTTAGTGAAAATTCCTCGAATTTTATCTAGGTTTTTATATGTTTTAACACGGAGGATGCCAATAAGCACAAGTTTAAAACGACATCCATGAAAAAAATTATACATACAGACTGTAAAGTACCTTAACGTATTCAACTCGAACCTGAGGTTTTTCGAAAAATAGACGAATTAACAACAATTTTTTGTATCGAACAGAAACTGAAATATACTTTGGACAAATATTTTTGATTAACGAAAAACTCTTAAACTCACCTGAATGTCGGTAAAAAGTTGGTATAATCGAAGATATTTTCTGTTCATTAGATTTTGAGTGTTGAATGAAAAAATATTGCTTTATTATTTTCCCGTTGATATATATCGAGGAACTTTGAAAATGAATTGAACCAAAGAAAAACTGCGAATTGATTTTTTCAAATCTGAGGACGGAGGCAGATTTTGGCGTCTGAAACATTAAGATAGTTATCTGAGCAATTATCGTCTCTTTTTTTACAAGTTACTGATGAACACCCTATTTTCCTGTGTTGAAAATACATTGTATTTACGCAGTAACTTATCGGGAAGAACTAAAAAGTTTGCCCTTCCTACAGTTGTATAAATTTCACCCTTACAGTTTTTATTTTTTAATATTGTGGAAAACTGTTTTCCTACACAAAACATTAATTTTTTTTGTCGATAACAATTTTCAATAAATTTGATACAGTTACAGTTGATACAGTTAAATTTACAGTACACATTTCAAATTGAACTTATTAGTAGGTACACTTCGAATCATACTTTTTTTTAATATCGAATATTACTAAATCTAAATATTTTTACCTTGATAACTAAAATTTTTAATTATTTCTATATTTGCAAATTTCTTATTGTGGACACTTCACATCTGACATTTGTCATTTTCATTTTATTTTATGTAGAGTTTTATAGCGAGTCACACTTATTTTATTATTTGTACCTTTGGGAGTAGTATAACTACAACCTCAACTTCTTTGACGAGTTGTACCCCTAGTTCAAAACATTTTTTGTTATCTGCATTTCTGTTGTGAGCATTGAATTTAGAACGATAGTGATCGAACGGAAAGAGATATCGCCTTGAAATTTCGTGTTTAACTCTAACCAGAACATGAGAAAAATCGAAATTCGCTTATAATTAAGAATCTTCTAAACTACAATTTATCGTGCTGTTGCCAAACAGCACCAAATGTTCATGAAAATTAGGTTTTATTCATCCTGCACTACAATGTTGACCCTGTACCGGGTTTTTTAACACTGGTAACGGATTCACTCATTCTCATTCAGATTTTTTGCGAATATCGAAATCACTATCAGTGAAAATGTAGCTTATAAAAAACAAAAAAATGGCGGGTTTATGGTCCACAAACCCAATACAAACATAGCGATAGCTTGTTGAAAGTTGGCTGTTCTTGTTCGTCAAATGCTAAAATTACCACTTTAATTGAAAGTAATCGTTACCACTTTACAATTCACTTCATTTATGTACTTGTGATATGTTGTAGAATTTTGATAGGATCAAAATGCTTAGTATTGAAAATAGTAACTCTTAAAGTGAAGACAACATTTTTGTTATTTTGCATTAAATTTCTTCAAAATAACTCAAAAACTTTCAATGGTACAGCATAGGTACAGTGTGTATTCATCAATGCTCTACTCAACAGGGTATCACTACGTTTGTATTTGGTATACAGACACCATAAATCCATCAATCTTTTCATTTTTTTATAAGCTACGTTTTTACTAAGAATGATTTTTTTTCGATAAAATAACTTGATTTTTGCGTTTATTTAAATGTGGTTGACAATGTTTCGTGTTGGGATTTCCATTGTCTAATATGACATAAATTGATTTGAAATCCGTGAAAATATCTATAAAAAATAAAAAAGATTATTTGAAAAAATAACAATTATATTAAACAAATAACTGAAATTACAATGAAATAAAATACAAGCAACAACCAAAAAATCAAATAAATTGAACTGTTAACACGAGATGAAAATTAAAAAAAAATTAACAAGAAATGATAATTGAACATTTGAAGATTCCAAGTCAAGTTACTTCACTGGTGTTAATAGTTCGATTTTTTGTATTGTTGCTTGTATTTTATTTCATTGTTATTTCAGTTTTTTTGCTTAATATAATTGTCATTTATTGAGTAAGTATAGGGTATTTCATTAAGCGCTTCCTTTATTTAAATTCAAATAAAACAAAGTGTGTTTGAGATATCATCGAATTTTTTTATTCGTTTGGAAAACCTATTGACATATGACTGAATGTTATTTGTACATTTCCGACGGTCCTTTCAAGTTTTATGCCTTTGCTGGTTTGTGCACTATTTCGTTTATCGAAAATAGGTATTTTATAAAATATAATAAATACACAAGTATCAGTGATTGTTGAGATTGTGTAAAATATCCACAAATATTACTTTCAGATACAAATGGAGTGTCTCTGAAACAACTTCTACCTTCTACGAATATTGAGTTACACAAGCATTCGTTCATTTCTCAATTTCATTCATTATGGAAACTAAAACAGATTCCATTCACGAGAAACGTTACCTAACGTAAATGAAAGAAAGAATATTGATATGAACGCCATTTACAATAATCGCTATTCCCCTCAAAACGCTATCACCCACGACATATATTTTTTTCTATGTACTACATGTTCATAATAACTTTTGATGATTTCATTATTGATATTATATTTTTTCTTCTTTATGTTCACAATAACTTTTAATGAACTCAGTAGTGTATATTTTCTGTTCTTTTTTGAAAGGGACTTTCAGAGACGATTTAGGTGATGTATATCGTAATATATGAAACTCCTCAACTATAATAACAAATTTTGAATCGTCATTAAATATTATTAGAAACATTTATTCACGTAATTTTTTGTGTACAGACAGAATCATTGTCACCTTGTCATAATTTGATTTTATTTATTATCATTTGAACAATTCAACAGTGAAAAGAACTGTTTTAATAAATCTCTCAACCAATTACCATCCTTCAGAAAATACTGAATTCAAAATGTCTACAGCTTTTTTGTTATTTTTTTGTAACGAGTGAACAAATGTTAATTGATACGTTTTGTTTCAGGCAAAGAAGGATATTTATCAAATAAAATCACAAAGGCTGATTTTAGCCCAGGATGAGTATGATCATCTCAACAATGCACTCGCGACTCTAACTACATCGAGAACGAGTTGTAAGTATATTAACTTTTTCTTTGAAAATGTAGCTACGATAGTTGTTGAAATTAAATCCTATTGCAAAATATGTTATGAAATTGTTTTTGAATTCAGGTTTGATGGGAATGAACTGTTATTCAGCAGTAGAATCAGTTTTCTAATTTTTGACGTTAGAAAACTAAAATAGAATTGCTGAACTTGTATCCAATTTTAGCCCTTCAGCAATTCAATACTTTCAAATTCAATTTTTAATTTATTTATTATGTAAACGCTGACTTTGTTTATAAATCGACAAACTCCAAAACCTTTTTTTCCCAATTTTCTCATTTTTCACTTATTTTTCTGAATTGTCCAAAGTGTATTCAACGCCATTTATTTGTTTTCAGTATGTTCGTCTAATAGTAATGTTAGCACAAAATACGATCCTGATCTTCTCAAATCGGATGTCGCTTTGGCGAAAAATAGGGTTTCGAGGCTTAAGAGCGAATTGGAACAAATACGGAACGAGATGACTTATACTCAAAGAGGAGTTGAAACCTTAACGAAGTAAGTTGAATGACAATATAGTATTTGCAAATCCAAATCTCTTTTAAAATTGCCTTTTGTCAAGTTTGAGTGGCAATTTTCTATTGATTTTTCCGCTGATTTTGAGGAACGACTCTTTACATTTCAATTGGGTAGTGTCTCAGTAACTTTCCTCATAATGTCAGATTGAAGTCATCATTTGAAGCGAATGAAATGGCATGTTTCTTATCATTTTTGTTTGCATTCTCAACTGAAGAGGTAATTATTTTCTAAACATCTAAACCTGAGAAAAAAATCATACATTTATATTACCAACTTTCTGTTCATTTTTTGATTACTTATTATGTTTTTAATTCTCAACTAATCCTCCACTACAAATGCTATGTGAAAGGTGTCACCTGATAGCAACAAGCCATTGGTCCTTACCATAGATTTACCTAGAAAGAAGCAATATGAAGAAGCATATGTAAAAACACATCTGAATTATAGAGATATCAACTTTGAAATAATTAGACACGTGGAACCTCCAGACCTTATATTGAATGGTCGAAAATATGATTAAAGAATTCAATTATACTTTATCTATCTTAGACGTGTATGTGGCTTTTCCATGAAGAATCTCTGGCAGTGGATTTTTTGATACTTATATGTTGATATCATTTGCCATTATTTACTAGTAAGCAGAGTAATCTGCTGCATAGAACACAACATACTCAGGAATTTGATAATTCTGATCATTTTTTGAAGTCAACTTATAAAACTTGAAATTGATTAGTTACGATACCCAGTGGATATTAATCTCCTCAAATAATGAGCTAATTTCTGACTAATCATTTGTGCAAACAATATCAACCCAGTTCTGTCTCTTTTGACAATTAATAAAACCTCTGAATCATATTATTAACTTCCTACCACTTACTGGCATGTCTACCGTGCCCTTTTATAGGAAATTTTCTCTCATGCACTTGCCTTTTAATCTAATCAATTTGTCAGATATTAATCAAACAAGGCAAGTATATTTACCACCCATTTTGTAAATACCTAATCTATTGGATTTTGAACGTTAGAACCTTTACCATCATCTGATCTCACGAAGTACAATACATACTTATTGAAAAAGAAGATTTGAACATACCTTCAGAAAACGATTTGTATCCAATAAAATATTCTATGAATACTTCGTGTGAAGATTGAGTGACCTCTTTTACGCTTTCTTTTTCTTATTGACTTTTACTTAGTTTTCAAGTTTTACTGTCATTTTCATTGTAATTGTTCCATATTTATATTTTCAATTTCATTTGTATAGACACTTTGGTTTGACATAACATTTTCATTATAATTTTCCAGCGTGGAACAAAAACTCAGCATGCACCAAGGCACATGCTACAACATATCAGAGGCTCAAGCGATCATGGCTGAACTGAGAAACATACAAAAATCACTATCATCCGGCGAAAAGGAAAAAGCAGATCTGATGCAATCTTTAGCAAAACTCAAAGATGATCTCACCAGGTTGCAGCTATCAGAGAGCTCCCCCGATATATCGACATTGAGTTTGCCCCAAGAAAAACTGAGCACCGCCTCACAGACAGACCTTTCCTGTGAATTGGTTCCTATCGGAACGAGGCTAGCAGAAATGGCAAAAATGAGGTTGGAATATGACGAAGCAAGGAAACGAGTACAACACATCCAGCAAAAACTAGCAGATCTGGAGGAAAAAGTGCATCCAGGTCAAGTGGAATCCGATAAGGATAGGTTGCTGCTATTCCAGGAAAAGGAACAGCTGCTAAGGGAGTTGAGGAGCATCGCTCCTCGAATGCGGTCCAAAGAGGAGATGAACGGGATTCAATTAGAATGCAAGAGGCTGGAAGAAGATCTGAACAAGGCATTGGAGATGTCGAATAGGGCCATCGCCGACCGATTGAGACTTCATGAAGAAAAGCAGTTTTTGCTGCAGCAGTTGAAGGACGGTCTAAGGCAAATGACACAATTAGAGTCGCAGTTGAAGACGCTTTCTGCTAGCACTCTCTCTGTGAGCAGCAGTTCAAGCCTCGGTTCATTGTCCACTACGAGCAGTAAGGGATCTCTAAGCTCAGGTTTGAGCTTCACGGATATCTACGGAGGTCCTCAATGTATCGGATCGTCTAATTTGGAGAAACCTATAGATATGGCGGATTTACATAAGAGGGTCGAGAGGCTGTTGATGAACAGCGACAGCATAACGCATACTTCGTCTCCCAACAGATCGCAACCATCATTGTCACCTAGAAGTTCGTTGTCCTCAGTTTCACCCCCAGTGTCGCCCATGTATGAGAATCTTCCAGGTCTGATACCACCTCCTACCTACGAACAAGTAAAAAGAGAAAGGCGGTTACAGTGTGATCAAAAACAGATTGATGAAAGGCTTGTTGAGCTCAGGCTTTCCAATACGTCCAGTACCGAATACCTTCATAATTATGTGTCGCAACGTGGCTCTATCCCGAGCATATCTCCGTTGACGGATCTGCTAGAGGCGCAAACGAGTAACATGTCCCAAGGTTCAGGACTGGGCAGGCCTTGCAGGTACTCTTACGAGAGCACAGGAGATCCACCACTCTCGCCCATATCCGAGACTTCGCCTGCTATCTATCACGATGAGATGTTGCAAGGAGTTGCTCTGTCCAGGACGTCTTCCTCCGGTACTAATACGAGATCTGTTTCTGCCGCCGTTAGCGACGAGTCCGTCGCTGGAGATTCGGGTGTGTTCGAGGCGTCTCACAGGAAAAGAGCTTCCGCAGCATTTGCTTCTGACATAGATGCCGAAACCGCGCAAGTACAAATTAAGATTAAATATATCACGACTGAAAGTATGCTCAATATTACGATAGAAAAGGCGAGGAACTTGAGTGCTTTGATGATACCGGAAGACTCGGAAGTGTGAGTATATCTGTTAATCACTAACAATTTTCTCTGCATAACTGAAAAGATGTATATAGGACTCAAAATATTGATGGTGCCGTTAAATTATTTTCTGATTCAGTAAAATTTAAAATCAAAATTTCAAAAAATTTGTGTTATGGAATTTCGTTAAATTCCGACATCGACCTCAAAATTTTATTAAATTCTGAACAGTTTGGCAAAATTGCAACATATGTTTAACAATACATAATATTTTGTGATGCTTGAAGATGCTGTTGTACAGCAAAATACGTGTCACAGTTTTCTAAACTTTCAAGTGGAAATCTCACATCAAAGCGAGTTTCTGAATACGTTATAATGGATTTCCATCAAGTATCGTCAGTTCTATCACACTTTAGGATATCTTGATATCCAGATGTGCTGAAGTACTTCTGAGAATTGACTCAGACTGAGTGAGCCTATAAGAATATATCATGTGATCTCTGATTCTGAAAGATTTAGCCCGTTATCCTGTCTATAGTGAAATTCATTACTTGAAAATGATGTATTTCTTGTTTTTTATTAGTATCGAACATTCAGCATTCTGAATTGAGTAAAACATGTACAAGTGGCACAGTTTAAATGTTCTGTTTTCTTCAGATATGTGAAAACGGCACTGTTACCCGCAAAACCCACCCCTCCTTTGGTATTTTCCACGAAAAGTGTTAGAGATTTGAAGAAGGCCACGTTTGCAGAAGTATATAATGTATCTGTTCCCGCCAACAAGATTTTTGCCAAGACACTTCAAGTTAATGTCTGGAATAAACTGGCAGACCTGCAAGAAAAATGTGTGGTGAGTTGAATTTCTGTTTTATAGATTTTCCAAAGATTATTTTTAGTGGTTTCGTGAATTGACATACACGGCCCCATTACTTGTGGATACATTTTTTTCAATAAGGTGTTGGAAAAGCTCAATTACAAATGATCGAACTATAACTTTGATTATCCAGATATTTTGAATATGTATTTGAAATAAAATTTTGATGTCATTGTGATCCAAGGAACTCAAGACCTTCACTGTTAGCCATTAGTGAAAAACAGCAAAATATAAGTAAACATGCTGGATTACTCTCGAATAGAAATAGAATATATTTTTTAAACTAATGAAATGTTGAAAATCTTTGAAAATACTGAAAACAACTGGACAAAAATATCTGGGTTGAATAGTTGAATGAAAAAACGAAAGCCAAAAAAACCAAAAATAAAAATAAATTTCAAACAAGGTTACTTCACAACATTAACTTTCGGTTTTCGGTTCAGTGCACCAGAGAGTGATTACTCTCATGAGAAGAGGTTTCCATATATTACTACCTCCACACTAGTCTGGCTGAATGCATCAATGGTCAACATGTGAGCATCTTCCTCGAAACTCCTCTTGAACCAGTGAATCTTCCTGTAGAAGATTTCAGCTTAGGAACAATTGATGTGATGTTGATGAGTCACTGTTTTTTTTGTGTTCACCGATGTGAACTAAGATTCAAGTCTCTTGGTTTCACAGATATACGATTTTCCTTACTCACAAATCATCCGGTACATGTAATTCTTAGAGTCGAGGTTTGCGTTTGGTAGCTTGGTTTTTGTGAGGCTGTTACGAATGCCGTTTCCGGATTCACCTTTCATTTTTGAGAGTTTATTGTTAGCTGAAGTCTGTTCCACCAGCTTTTTGTAGTGACTATTCTGCTGAAGATATTTTCTGATGTGGGCTAGTTTCTTGTCGAGACTTTTTTTTTGTGTCACAAAGACCGAATGCACGATCATATAGAATCCTCTCTTCATAATGTTATACCAAATATACTCATGTGAAGAAGACGTCTATCTGAGAATCATTGCAGGCCACATATCCATTTCAAAATTAGAATATTGCTATTATCCTATGAACTTCAAACATATGTGAGTAACAAGTAACAAATAAATGCTGTGCACCACGAATTACCTGTTAAAAAAAAAAGATACAAAGTTTTTTAAATAAGTAACAAGACCAATAAAACTTCCGTTTCGGAAATCGTGGAAAGCACCTTCTTCTGAAGTATGTAAATTTTTTGACGTTTGTCTGAAACATTGGCCATTTTGTTTTAAAAAGCCAAGCATTGAAATTTAAGTTGGCTGGGATTATCCTCTCAAAACAGCTATTTTCATATAAATATTGAATTACATGAAAAAAAACTTTCGAAACAAATACTTTTATATGAACGCTGAGTTATACGAAAAACACTTCTCTATTCCGTTTGTATTCCAAACACAGGATTTCTACGCAATATAATAAACAAAAGAAGTCAAATTTCACTTACATGGAATACTGTCATCCTCACTAGTAGACATCTGATGTTTCGCCGTAAGACACTTACCTTATCAGCTCTTTGGTAGCAAATAAGGATAACATTAACATTATAAGAAAACACACAATTACGTTGTAATTTTTGAATAATTTTGTTTCTCGTCATAATTTCAAAGTGACAGATGGCAGGTGATGTGTTTCTCAAAATTCTCAAAAGATTTTGTAGAGTAAATATTACAGTATGATCATTATCGATTTTGATTATTGGATAGTAGAAAACAAAATAGTTTTTCTATATTGTGTTTAGGTAATACTTTTCGTTTTACAATTCAGTAATAACTTTTTTTGCGGTTTCAGGGTTGTGCACAAGTGAGCTTAGCAGATTTCAACATCCACAATGTTTCTCAGAAATGGTACAACATCCTTTCACTACAAGGTGACCTACCCTCAAATACGGCTTATCTAAAGCAAGAAGTTGTTTCTCCCCTTCGGGAGAAATCTGAAAACGATTCATCTTACAAACAAATGGGAAAAGAAGAAAGTTCTGATGATTCCACTATCATATCATCTCAAACTTCAACTTTAACAAGAAATCAAGAGACCGTTTTCCCACCAACCATCAATCTTAATTTCGATGAGTTGTATAATTGTTTCAAGGATTCTGAAGAGTATGCCAGTGATGATTCTGATGAAGATTTGGAAGATGGCGAGGATTGCAATGAAGAAGGAATTACGGTTGAGTTTAGGTGAGTCATTATTATCTCTTGTTTTCGAAATACATACATTTGGAAATATTTGTCATCATATTCATATTTTACTTCCATATTGTCTACAGTTCTTTAAGTGAGTTCATCACGGGAACATGCTCCTGCTATTCTCATAATCGAAACAACTAATCCATAAATTATTTTGTCGGCTGCATTTATCAAGAAGTTAATTGATTATTCTCTCACATAAAGTTGCAATTTTTTTAGCTTGTAGTCGATAGACTGGAGTAATGAAGAAATAGTCACTGCATCTGTTGCATTCATGATCTACATAACTGTTAATTATTTTAGAAATTAACGAGAATTTTAAATTCATTCAAAAACGAAAAAATCTGACGTCTTGATGCCGAACGCCATATCAATATTTTTCTTGTTTTCTTTCCCTGCAAAAACAAAAATAATTTTGTACCCTTGAACGCAGAATATCATTATCAGAAAAGTGCCTGAAGTATGTAGCTATCTAGCTTTTTGAAACACTTCTGTTCTAAATGAAAGAATCAAACCTTTCGCAAATTTAAAAAGGAAAACTGCTCAGCTTTTATGTAGCATTGAACTATATTCTCTAAAAAAATATTTGAGAATTGTGGTTTTCTTTCATGAATTGCTTTCAGTCATATTCAAAATGAAACCCTACATAAAACAAAAATAATTTTGTACCCTTAAACGCAGAATATCATTATCAGAAAATTGCCTGAATTATGTAGCTATCTAGCTTTTTGAAACACTTCTTATCTAAATGAAAGACTCAAACCTTTCGCAAATTTTAAAAGGAAAACTACTCAGCTTTTATGTAGCGTTGAACTATATTCTCTAAAAAAAATATTTGAGAATTGTGGTTGAAAATGATGATACTTGATATTTAAAATATATCAGTGGCCAGTAGAGTTCTGTTCCCTGTATTTTGGAATTTACTTGGAACTAACAGGCAATCTTTCTTGGGAAAAGTTTAAATAAATCTACATTGCTTTTTTTTAGGTCGAACGAAAGATTGGATGTAGTTTTGGAACACTGTGATGACATGGAACCAGAATATACCGACAAACAAACCAATACGGAATGTGCTTTTCATCCTGAACAAGCCAAACAAATGAAACTTCAAGCGGCTCGATGTGGTAATGCCATCGATGACTCCGGTCCCATAAAGAGATCGCAGACGTTCTCCCCTAGCGCGCACGTTTCCAAAAATCAGTACATCTGTAAGTTGAATAGGAGCGACAGCGACAGTGCTATGCCATTGTACAGGAGGGGCAACAAACCTTTCGAGAGGCACGCGGTCGAGAGGAGATCTTTGCGCTTCCGGAGACAGTCTGGTTCGATGGCCGCGTTATCGACGAGCAAGTCTCAGAGCCATCTGCCTACCACCGCGAGGACTTCCATAGATTTGGAGTTGGACCTCCAAGCGCAGCATACAAGGTTGGACAAACTGAACTCGGAGCTGTTGAGGTTGAGGGAGTTGAAGCAGAGGCTGGAGACTGCTAAAGAGCAAGGTAATTATGTTTTAAAAACTGCTTTGTGAGGAATATATTTTGAATGGGATTTGAGTTTCATAACACATTTGATTTTTAACATTGATAAAAAACTATAAAAACATGAATATATTAGGAAAGTGCAAAAAATAGGTAAAAAACATGATGCAAGATAATAATTTTAGAGACAATATTTTCGAAGTTAACTCAAGGGCGATTAAAATTATTCTATTGAGTAGAAACTTGTTCCGAAATAATTTTTTCCTTTCATGAAATTCAATGTTCATATGGAAGTAGTTGTTTCGAAAGGGATTTTTCTTCCAGCTTGTATCTGAAAAAAAGTTTTTTTTCACTTATTGAATGATATAAAAAGCAAAGTACCTGAATTTTATTTTTATTGTCTTTACAGGTGATTCAGAACTTGCTTCATACCTGCTGGAAGATCAGCAATTCCAGAACTTGATAGCGCAGGCAGAAAGTTCAAAAACGACTAGGACTCCAGAAGAAAGGAAGTTAGAGAAAATGCTAAGGAAAGTTTCCAAGGAGATCTACAAACTGAGGAAGTCGAAGGTTGGAAATGGAAAACCGGACCTTATTTCTTTCAAGTGAGTTTGGTTCTCATGTTGTCATCAATCCATGATATAGAAATTTATATTACATTTTCATTGGACAGTTTACAAAACCGTAACACTTGTTTCGCTATACAATAGCTTCCTCAAGCTTGTTCATATTGAATAAATTCTACCTGATTTGTATTTTATATAAAACAACCTGCTTCATGACTAATAATTTTTCTAAAGTTTAGGCCTGAACTGATTGAAAATTCAAACACTGCAAAAAAAATTTACCAACTCATTAAATGGAAATCAATTCAACTGTTAAGACCAATTCAATTCTACTGGGTCATTCAGTAAATTTTTCAGAATTCTTTGATGTATTACTTTCTAAGCACTCTGAAATTGAGTTTCAAACCTTACTCTTCCAAATATAACACGTCATATTCATGGCTGAACTCATGCCCCTCTGCCAAAAAATGGTTTGCAAATGTGGAATTGGTCTCTACATTCAAGAAACTAGTTCTACGGTCTGTTATTCTTTGGGAAAGTATTCTCCCTGTATGGCCTATATAAAGTTTAGGGTAAGAACTACAAGTTTACTTATATACTCCTGATCTATCCGACAGAAGTTTTGTCTTTATTATCTTTAATAAGTTTGCCCTAACTATTTGTTCTATAAACCATGTTCAAGTCTTCATTTTTCAAATAACGAGAACTATTGGTGGTTTCACCGAAGTATGTCAATATCATATGACGCTTATTGATTTGATGTGATTGAACTTTATAATTCTGTTTTCATTTGAATTTCTGTTGATATCTTCCTTGCAGGTTTTCCTCAAATTGTTTTGTTTTTTTCAGAGAAAAAATGGCCTTTTTCACTCGGACAGACACGAATGTACCTTTCCTGCCATCTGACGAGTGCCATTCTGAGAACAATACTTTGAAACGTTTGAGTGAAGAAAAGCCTCAGTTGACGAACGGCGAGGTTAGAGCCAATGGTCTTGAAGATGGGGAAGGAAATGCAGGCAGATATGATTACGTCGTAGACAGAGTACTAGGAGTTGAGGTTTAATATTTATTGAGTCGCTAGATAATTGAGAGCTCTTGTATATAGTTTGTAAAGTTGTACATTTGTTGATAGTTTTCCAACTTCAGAGTGCCACTGTAGTATTGCTTTTGACTGGCATCTCCTCAACGTGTTCTTGTTTTGCTGGACAACCATTTTTGTTTCTCTTCTAGCAGACGGTCTGGATTTAGGAAAAATGAGATGGGAATTGGTGGGAACTGTTTAAATTGGTTTTTCGGTAGCACATTTCACGAATTTCTGTTTTTTTTTTATTTTCAGTATTAAAGTATGATTTGAAGCAAAAAGTAAAAAATCCTCATTGAGATTATAAATTATGATATTATCTTTGATAATCGAATGAAATTATAATTACAGGACGTATACAAAGATTCTGTGAAGATTAATGATAGTGGGAGTCTGGTATACATTTTATTGAATAATGGACTGTGACGTACTTTTTTCTGTGTTGTTATTGAATTTTTTCATCTGTCAAGAATCGAACAAAAAATTGGAGAAGGGTCATTTTGCTTCACTAACGCTGTCATACAGTTTATAGACTTTCGTGTTTTCAAGGTATCAATTACTTCTATGGATTCCTACAAACCAGTGATTCCAAGTTCAAACTTTATCAAGAAATATTACATATTATAATTCACTAGTCGTTTTTTATTCTTTGATACATTCAAAGTAATTATATATAATGTAATCGTACATAACGCTCTTAAAATCTGTTGATCAATTTTCTTAGAATTTGTCAATTACTTTTTAATCAAACAGCTTGCATTTTCAATTTTTCTTTTGGTCATTTTGAATTGTTTCTTCACTTAATCTTTCAAATCAAGCAGTAGTCTGTTTTGAAATTTGCCAGTTGAAACACAATTTGCCAATGTGCACTTTCAATATGTTAATTGATCTTTTTCAAACTATCTTTTGATATTTATAATTTTTTCACATCTCTCGTGAGACTCAGTTGGAATCTAATCTTGATTTATTAAAGGGCACTTTCAATCAGTTAATTGCCTATTTTTGAACTGTTGTAACTCTTCGTCAATCTTAAACAAGTGAGCTTTTCATTTAATTGATAGCGTCAGTGGTAATAAATACTACAGTTCACCTGACGCATCAAAACATTGATGAAAGAGGTAAACTGTAAGTTGAACATAACCACTATCGAAAAATTTTTTGTCTTGTTAAAGTCTGGGGCCCCCAAACTGAGTATAGCACTCACCATTGTCCGTCCCATCCCTCTGAGGAGCTCGCAATTTTCAGAAGTTTGGAGTAGTAGCCAAATCTGGCATGTAGGAATCCATGTAACACTGTTCGACGTATGTACACTGGTAATCATTTGACTACAGATTAACTATAAAAAAAAAGTTTGTTGTTACACTTGAATCACCAAAACATCCAATTTCAGGAATTTTTTCCATCTACCTTATTTTTTGAGCATCGACCAGTCTATAGTCCGTCGCTCTCACAACTGTCTTTTTGAGTCTCTTCACCTTCCAATGTGTTACCCAGGCAAAATTTTCACATGTTGCGCGAGTCGCTCCCTACTTAACTTTCAATATTCCATTATCTGCAATTGACAATTCTCAATTTAATGTGTTGAAGCCTTAATATAATACTTAATCTGTTATCTTTTTTTTTCTTATTGATTTGGCTGTTACTTGATGAAGATCCATAGTAATTTCATAAACTACACCTCATGATTTGGTCTCCACAAACTTTGTGGAGAAGTTTGTTGAGGTCAAATCGTGAGGTGTAGCTTATGAAATTAATCTGTTATCTGTTGAAATCTGTTTTTTCATTAACCAGCTGTTGCCCCCCTGCGAACGACAACCCTAAGAAATTGAAACTTGTGCGAGCCAGGTATTAACGAGGCTACACATTTTAACGTGCGATTTTGTAGGGATTTATATTACATGTATTATTATATTTCCTTGAGTGATCTCGTCTTGGTTAATTCACATGCGAATTATTGACAGAAATTACTTGAGAAAAGTTTTTCTTCAGAAGCACTTTCTCCATTTTTTGTTTCATTTTTGACTTAGTATATTTACATATTGCCTATTTATATACATTTTATCATTCAAACTCTGTGATGTAGTGCCTTCAGAAACTTCTGACCATATGATTATTTATACTCAGAAAATTTATCATATATGTTTATATTGTATGAAGGCATTGAAAGGTCATCGAGTATTTTTTATAACTGACAGTTTTTCAATAGTTGATTCTCAATTAATCACTCCTGACATATTAAATAATCAATTAGCTTTAATCGACAGTTTGAACAGTTGATTAGCGATAAACGTCAGTTTGAACTGTTGATTATAGTTAATGGTCAAATTGAACTGTCACTCATAGATAGTTGACAGTTGAACTGTCATTCACTAAAATCAGCAGCTTGAAGTGTTGAATTGCCAATCAGCCATAAATGTCATTTCGAAACATTAATTGAGATTAATCGACGGATTGAACTGTTAGTGATGAATAATTGACAATTTGAATGTTCTTATCCAAAATTTGAACTGTCGATTATTGAAGAAAATATTCTGTGGCTCTTCAGTTTCTTCTTAATATTGCGAAAACGTTGAACAGCTTTGTTCATCTTTTTTTGTGTATATCATTTTTGATACATATTATTTAGTACAATGGTTTTCAACTCTGTTACCATATCTTTTTTAAAATAAGGTTTAAAGTTATCCTCGCGCTTTTTATCCTTTCTCGCTCTTGAACTGGGTGGTTGAAACTAAGACGTGACAATTTTTTTTAAACGCCCTTTTTTATATTATAGGAATGCTCTCGCTTAGAGTTATAAGCCAGTCGTTTAGGCGAATTAAGAGGGATTATTTTTACACCTAAGATTTAGTGGTGCATTTCGGACTGGGGAATGCACCGTTTCATGAAAAACTAATTGATGACTATAGTTTTAATTTTTGTTTGTGTAGTGACTGGCCATTCTCAAAATTTTTGTATATAGAATTCAGAGCCATCCAAAAGGTACCTAAAAATCTCTAAGGTTATGGTTACAATAACTATTTCGCCTCAACTATATTAGTTGGGAATTTACTTGAATAGATATCATAATTTTTTTACTTGTACTATATGTAAATAATTGATCTATAATATATCTAGTAATATTATTGTAAAATAATATATTATGTTTGAAAAAACATGAGTATAAATCATATAAATACATTCTAATTAAAGTATATGGTTCTAATATTTACTGAGAAAAAGTTGAAAAAAGTTGTAGGAAACAAAAATGTATACAAAAAATGCTCATTACAGGAAAAATGAATTTAAGTCTATCCCAAATACAAAGTATGAAAAGGGGTGGATTTTAGGAGTGGAAAATGGTTTTTCATGATGTCCACCTACTACTGAGAAAAAGTTGAAAAAAGTTGTAGGAAACATAGATATTTACAACTGTTGTATGAACAATTATCACATATAATCTAAAATTTTGTGAGAAAAATTGAAAAAACTTTTTTTTGTTTGATTTTTTCTCTTACAGGTCTATGTACACCCACAGAACAATTATATTAAAATGAGATATTTTTTGTTCAGTAAGTTGTTTAGTGGAACACCTAAGATGCATAGAAATACCATGGTGTAATCACTAACTGTAGTATGGTTGATCTGATTGCAATAATCACTTTCTATACTGGTAGTCGATGTGTTTATCAACTGTAATAATAAACGTCACATAACATTATAAATGTCAACGGAAAATTAAAACTGTAAACAACTGGAGTCACTGTATGAACACGAATAATGTTGAATTCAAAACCTATGAAACATGATACTTCATTTTTCCCTACCAAAACAAAACAAGGACTGATTGTCTTACTCAGTCACGATAATGAGCTGGCAGTTTTCGGTTTCGTGACGGGTTTCTTCTAGCTTCCAATCGCCTGCTTTTCTTGCATAATGTGTTCATTGGCTTATATCTTCATGTTCTCAGGTTGTGTCATGCTTTCTTTGGTAGAATCTTCATCTTGCAATGCAATAGGAACACTTGTATGACGTGTTTCTCAGAATTCTTGGCATCTTCTTGTTTTTGTTCCGCATGGTTGGGTTGATTTTAACAAGGTCTCAACTAGTCTCCATGCTTTTTTTTGGCGTTCCATTTACCTCAACGATATATGAATGAGGTCCAGTTCGATCCATTACTGTTCCTGGTGTGGATCCTTACCTAGTGGATTATTCATCCGGACTGCCTGATTAGGATGGAAGGCCGAGTCCTTTGAACCACGATCAAGAATTCGTTTCTGATCAAGTTCAGCCTTATTCATGTTTCGGAATAAGTTATGTTTCAATTGGTAGAACAGAGTACATAAATGTCGCTTTGTCGCTTTGAGCCCTGCTTGTCGAACGTTGTATTACGATAAGTCAGCAACTTTGCAAACGTTTATCTTGATTATTCTCTTGTCCACTAGCTGACATGCGATCTTCTAAAGTCTTCACTGCTATTTCTGCGAGTCCATTCGTCTTGGGGTGATACGGTGTTGATCGAATATGTGTGATACCGTAAGACTTGCAAAATAATCCGAACTCTTTAGCGGTTAACTGAGGACCATTAACGGACACAATTATTTTCGGGTAACCTTATCTCGAAATAACTTCTCGAAGCACGTTTATTGTTGATGACGTGGTGATGTTCTTCATCGGAAAGATTTTGAGCCAGCATGTATCTACTGTGATAAGCCACATTTTTCCTTCGAAAGGTCCGGCAAACTCTATACAGGGTGTTGATTATAAATAGACATAAATTCAACAGACGATTCTTTAGGTAATTATAAGTCGAAATGTTCATATAAACATGGGTCCGCAAATCCTTCGTTCTCAAGATACAGGGTGTTAAAATAAAAATTAAAAAAAAAAGTTATTCGTAAATATCTTAAATATCCTTTACCTAATTTTGTTGTAATTTGGCAATGATATTTATAACATTAATGAGCTAATTTAGCCCGAACGTGATTCAATTTATCAAGTCCAGTGGCGTCTCGAGCGGGATTTGAACGAATATTTTTGACTTAAAAATGTACGCCACTGACTTTTGTGCAATTTTTATTAT